TGTGTGTGTGTATATACATATATATATATATATATATATATATATATATATATATATATATATATACACATCTTGTTCTCTTTGAATCAGTTCAGATGAGAGTGAGGTTCAAATATGGTGCATCCAACCGCCCACCATTTCCCCCTTCCCTGTAAAAGCTCTAAGTTGCACACCTCTTTTATATGAGATAATTTCCTCCATTCTTCCTCTCCTTTTCCCCTTTTCCCAATGCATCCCTCTTTCTCACCTATCCATTTTTTTGATCATTCCAACATAATCAAATCACTCTAGTGCCCTCTGTCTGCGTGGAGTCCTTCTGACTGCCCTCATAATGATAGTTCTTAGGCGTTACATGTATCATCTTCCTATTCAGGAATATAAACAATTTAACCTTAGAGAGTCCCTTATGAATTCTCTTTCATGTTTACCTTTTTATGCTTCTCTGGAGTTTTGTATTTGAAAGTCTGCTTTTCTATTCAGCTCGGGTCTTTTCACCAGGAATATTTGAAAGTCCTCTATTTCATTAAATATCCATTTTCCCCCGAAGGATTATACTCTGATTTGCTGGGTATATTATTCTTGGTTGTAATCTTTGCATCTTTGACTTCCAGAATATCATTTCAATGCTGCACTTTCTTTAATGTGGCAGATGATAAATCTTCTGTGATCCTAACTATAGCTCCACGGTATGTGAATGGTTTCTTTCTGTCTGCTTGGAGTATTTACTCTTTGACCTGGGAGCTCTGGAATTCAGCTATAATGTTCCTGGAAGTTTTCATTTTGGTTTCTCTTTCAGTTATTGATCAGTGGATTCTTTCAATTTCTACTTTATCCTCTGATTCTAAAATATCATGCCAGTTTTCCTTGACAATTTCTTGAAATATGATGTTTAGGCTCTTTCTTTGCTCATGGCTTTCAAGTAGTCCAATAATTCTTAAATTATCACATTTTCCAGGTCATTTGTTTTTCCAATGAGATATTTCACATTTTCTTATTTTTTTTCATTCTTTTGGCTTTGATTTATAGCCTTTCTTGATGCCTCATGGAGTCATTAGCTTCTGCTTGCCCAATTCTAATTTTAAAGGAATAGTTTTCTTTAGCAAGCTTTTGTACCTCTTTTCCCATTTGACCAATTCTGGGCTTGAGGTGTTATTTTCTTCAGTACTTTTGTGACTCTTTTACCAAGCTGTTAATTGTCTTTTCATAATTATCTTGCATTTCTCTCATTTCTATTCCCAGTTTTTCCTCTCCCATTCTTATTTGATTATGAAAATCATTTTTTAAAGCTCTTCCAGAAATTCTTATTGAGGTTGTGTCCAATTCACTTTTTTTTTTCTTAGTGGCTTTGCTTGCTGCTGTTTTGACATCATTATCTTCTTCTGATTTTATGTCTTGAACTTTTTATAGTCAAGTTCTTTTTTTGTTGTTTGCTTATTTTCCCAGCCTTTGGCCTTTATGTTAAAGTTGAGCTTTGCTTTTGGTATGGGGAGGAGGGGCAGTGTTCTAAGCTTCAGACTTTTTCCTCACTGCTGATTTCAGAGCTAGTTTTCAGAGTTGGGAAGTTTTTGATGCTTCCAAGATGGTGTGATCCAGGGAGAGGTGTGGTCACTGCTCTCCTGGTTTGTTCTCTGGTCTTTACTCAGGAAGGGCCCTGATCTCTTGGGATTTCCATTGATTCTGCTTTTCAGGGTCCCTGCAACCTTAGGACAGCAAGTGTTCTTCTCTGCCTAGGAACTGTGATCCAGGAGTGAGCATGGGCGATGGGGTTGCCAGACTCATCATGTCCTGCACCTAGTGGCTAGCCCAGGAGTCCCTCGTAGCCTCTTTCTAACCAGTTGCCCAATCCCCTTACCATCTCTGGCTTGAGAGCTCCCAAAGGTGCTGCTGCTTATGTTGCCACCACCAGTCCCACCCTTGGTGTTGTTCCCCGTGGACTGTAAGCCAGCCTCCACCCTCATGTCACAGAGCTTTCTTCCTGACCTCCGACGTTGTCTTGGGCTCAAAGAATGTCTCACCCTATCCTTTGTTGGCTCTGTTGCTCCAGAATCATATCTGAGGTGTTGTTTTAAAAGTTGTTTGGAGGGGAATGTTGGGAGAACTTGGCTGAAGTGCTTCCTATCCTCCACCATCTTAGCTCTACCTCTGGAAGTCCTCTTGATTATTTGCAATCATCATTGTGCCATCAGTGTGCCCAGCCTTGATATTTGGACTCAGAATTTAATTGCTTTAGGAAGGAAGCTACAAAACTACTTGCCATGCATATTCACGTATAGACCATTTCCAAGAGAAGGCATCTCAAAAATGGCTCAAAGTATACAAATGTGAGTGGATCAAAATACTGTTGTTTCCATTAACTACACTTTGAGTAAAATTAGATATTCAGTCCCGAAAGTGCCAGAACCAAGGTTTGTTAATGCTCTTAACTATTATTATAAGATGAGTTTTTGCTAACAAAATATTCTTCTTTTTTTAGATTGCTGCTGGAGAGAAGCTCCCTTTGAGTCAGGAAGAAATAAGATTGAAAGGCCATGCCTTTGAAGCGAGAATATATGCAGAAGACCCTCAGAATAATTTCATGCCTGGGGCAGGACCCCTCGTGCACTTGTCTACACCACTCCCAGGGCCTAGTGTTAGGATTGAAACTGGAGTCAGGCAAGGTAAGTGGGGATGAGTGTCTGGCCCTTGTTACTTTCAGTCTGCCTGTAAATGAGGACAGTGATTGTTGCGCTCACCTCCCTCCCAGGGACTGTGGCCAGGAAGCAGGTGGCGAGCCCCAGGGGGCTCGAGCAGCGGGACTCATTCTTGTCTTGGTGACAGCCTCCTCCTCAGCTCTTTGGCCAGCCACGTTCTCCCTTCTTTTACAGCCACTTTAATGGCATTCATGAATTTGCCATTGTTTTTCATTCTTTCAAAAGTGACAGCTGATTTTAAAGAAGACACAATAATTTGTGAACCCCACACTCCCATTTGGAAATCTTGCATGGTTTCTTCCCATCAGCAGAGCTTGCTGATTGCCTGCATGTCCTGTGCACAACATATTGGAGAATACTCACAAGTCTGGTTGAGAACAGGGTCTACTGTCAAGGAGCTGGTGTCTTTGTGTAGATAAGAACTGAAACTATATTAAATAGCAATTAAAGAATTAAATAACAGTTCAAGATAATAGAAGAGACTTCCCGGGGCACTACTTAATCAATTGCGACATGGATTATATGGTGTTTTCAGAGTTCATTGGAGGGGGGATATACTGCCACTCTGATGGGGGAGTAGTCACAGTCACAGTCACAGAGGGGGTGAATTTGAGTTGGTTTTTGCAGGAGAGGTGGATTAGGTAAGCAGAGATAAGAAAGGTGAAGTTCTAGGCCAGAGGACTAAGGGATCTGGGGGGACAACAGACTCCGTAGGAGACTGTCATGGCACGGGAAGAGGTGTGACTTCCAGGAAGAGGTTGGTGAGGGTCCCTTTGTGTTCTGCCCTTGCTGGACCTCATCTGGAGCATCAGTTTTGGGCAGTCCAGTTTGAGAAGGACACTGACAAGCCGGAGGGCATCCAGAGGAAGGCGGCCAGCATGGTGAAGGCCTAGAGTCCTCTTAGGTGAGGCACCACACATGCTTAGTCTGAGAAGAGAAGATTCAGGTAGACCTGAAAATCATCTTCAAGGGGCTCTTTGAGGGGCTCTTACATAGAGAAGAGAGCAGCCTTGTTTTGTTCAGCCCAGGAGGGCAGAATCAGGAGATGGGTAGAAGTGGCAAAGTGGCTGGATGTCAGGAAACAGCACCAGTCATGAGGATGCATCAGTCACATTTCTGGACGCCAGGAGTGGCATGGGCTACGTGGAGGGCAGGGTCCCGTCCACAGTGGTCTTCAAGCAGAGCCTAGATAGCCACTTCTCGAGGACATGGTGTTGTAGAGGAGGTGCCTTGCAGCTGTGGGCTGGACTGGAGGACTTCTCATGTCCCTTCCGATGTGAGCACTGACCATGAGGGACCACGTGGCATGTTGGGGGGACAATGAGGAAGCCAGGTGAGCTGCACAAGTGAGGGTTTGGAAGTAGGACTGGACAGGCGGGTCGGAGCCTGGATGTGAAGGGCCTGGAATGCTGATGTGAACAAGCTGTATTCACACTGATCACAGCTTTCTGAGGGCTCTCACTGAGCAGTCACGGGAGGTTCAGCTCTTCTTGTTCAGTTGGCTCTGTGCTGCCACCCTCATGGTGTCCGTGCTTTATTCATGGTGTTGGGAGGAGCCGTTTCTGGCAGGAGACACCTTTGGTGTTGTGGAGGCAGGCTGAGTGTGTGCGGGGACTCAGGAAGGGGGTTTATGGAGCAGAGGGACGGTGATTCTGATGTTCTGTGGAGTCAGTGTTGGACCTCGGAAATGAGTGAGGCAAATGTATGTTATTAATTCACTATTGAACAGATCGTGACTTTAAAAAAATGTGCCCCCCGAGGAGCTGGTCAGACACAAGGTAGGCAGCAACTTCAGAAACCAATGTGCCGTGGTTCATATTGCTCTTCTATTCGTGTGTGGGCTGCTGGATTGTGCACCAGCCACCAGCCTGAGGAGGTGCAGGGGAGCAGGTAAAGAGGGCTGACAGAGAGTGTCTTGGCTGCCAAAGCAAACAGTTTGTGGGCACTAGAAAGAAGAGGATCACTAGTTGGCCCTTGAGATTACCAGTAATGTTTCATGGATACAAAAGCAGCCCTCAGGCTGCCCATAGTAGTGATCCTCAGAGGAGAACAGGAGGCGTGCATGCTTTTGTTGCTAATGCCTAAATTAGAGTGAGATCGTTTTTTAGAATACAGTGTTGGGAAGAAAGTCCAGGAGTCACCCTGTTGTTATACCATCTGCAAACATTAATTTAATGACCAGTACTTCAAATGGGAGCTTTTTGTCAGACTACCAGTTAGTATATACACTCTTGAAGGAACTGATTCCCATCCATGTTGACATTCTTACTCTAAGTGAGGGGCTCTTAACCTCTTCTGTGTTGTGAACTTCCTTTGGCAATCTGGTGAAGCCTGTGGACCCTTTCTCAGAATAATACTTTTAAATGCATAAAATAAAATACAAAAGATTACAAAGGACACCAGTTACAAACAGTTCTAGCTTTATGTAAGTGGACCATTCTACTAAAGCTATTTTTACATAATGCAGATTTGCCCATGGAAGGAAGGGAGGGAGGCAGGGAGGGGGCTGCGTGCCCATGAAGGGAGGGGGATGACGCACTATTCAAGGACACATGGGGGTGGGGGCCGGGGACAGAGGAGTGAGAGCAGGAAGAGCAACACACAGGGGCTGGGGCAGTCACATGGAGGCCCGGCTAGAATTGAGAGGAAAAACACACAGGGGGCAAATACATGGGGCCAGACACAGACACAGGCAGGAGAGGACAGGTGACATGTGGAAGCCAGGAATAGGCAATGCGGTAGCTAAGCATGGACAGAGGGAAGACAGGTACATGGGGGCTGGACACGCAGGTGGGTGGGCAGATCCAGGCAAAGGTCTCAGGGAGTCTCATGATAAGGCCTTGATCCCACAGTCTCTCCATGCATTCATTCTTCTATTTTCACTTGAAGGGTTTTTTTAGGGGCGGGGTGGGGCAGGAAGCCATGGAGCCTGGAGCCAGAAGGCCGGAGTGGAGAGAGAGAGAGAGAGCACAGTACTGAACAGTAAAGTTAATATAGGTGGTTTTATAATACAGATTTCTCTCAGAATTCTTTACTTCAAGTTGAATTTGAGTCATGCAAATTTATGTAAAATGAGAACTATCTATATATTGAAGTACAGTTATCAGAATATATATTTTAAAAACCCAAGTTCACAGACCCCAAGTAAAGACCCCTCACTCTAAGTGAAGCTAGAAGATAAAGTAGTAGCAGTCGTGGCAACCATAAGACAAGGCCTGGCCTCTCTTCTAAGAGGCAGATAAAGGAGCTGGAGAAATGGGTCTACTTGTGTGCCCCACGGAATTGAGAAATCCAGTTTCACTGAACACTTGATCACATCACGTTGCTATGCTCACAACAAGCTGCCATGAAAACAACTGCCACTTACTTGTCACATCTGTTGCAGAAAGTGAAAAAGTAGAAAAATTACATGGTGAACTCAGCAGAGTCAGACAATCAATTAACAAGCATCCCCTATGGACCAGGCCTTGTGTTAAGCCCAGGGGCTACAAAGAAAGGCAAAAATACTCTCTCTGACTGTGAGGAACCCACATTCCCTTGGGGGAGTCAACCTGCAAATAACTGTACCTATATTGTATGTGCAGTATAAATGAAAGGAAACCCCAGAGGGCAGGTCCTAGCAGTGGGAGGAACAACAAAAGCGAGGCCTCCTGCCGAAGGAAGGATTGGAGGCGAGTCTTCAGGGAAGTCAGGAGACAGAGGGGACGATGCAGAGCATTCCAGGCATGGGATGGCGTGACGGCCGAGTGGGGAGGTGGAGGAACAGCAGGAAGGTGGCCGCTGCTGGATCTAGTCTGTGAACAGCAGTGAAAAGTAAGAAGTCCGGAAAGGCAGGAAGAAGAAGCCACGTAATGGAGGGCTTTAAATGCCAAGCAGGTGATTTTACATCTGGTCCTGGAGTTAACAGGGAGCCACTCTAGAGTAGAAGGAGACTAGGTCACACCTGAAATTTAGGGACACCACTTTGGCAGCTCCATGGCGTCTGGATCCGAGTGGGGAGAGACTTGAGGCGGACACCAGCTGGAAGGTTGCCATGAGAGTGCAGGTGAGAGAGGTGATGAGGTCTGTACTCAGGTGTTGGCTGTGCGAGTAGAAGGAAGGGATGCACCCAAGAGATGTTGTGAAGGTAGAGACAAGTACGGGACTTGGCAGCAATTGAATATGTGAGGTGAAAGCAAGAATCAGCAATGACACTGAGGGGGCAAGTCCTACCTGCATATCTAGTGGTTTCCTGTGACAAAGAGGAAGACAAGGCCAAGCATTGGAAAATGTGGTTTAGGATGAAATGAGCCATAGACATGTAGACTCTTCACAAACCTCACATCTGTATCATGAATACTGTTTTTAAGAGAAGAATCAAAAGAGGTTGGCTCTAGTGAGTACTGAAGAATATCATAAAAATTAGAATTGGTTAGACCTTAATAGTCAGAAAATGAACGTACCAATGTGGGAGTCATTTCAGAATCTTCTGTCTCTGTGTAGTCGAGGCATCCACTGGTCAGTCACTCAAGCATCTACACGCTCACTATGTGTCAGGTACTGTGCTAAGCGTTAGAAGTACAAAGAAAGACAAAAACACGGTTCCTTCCTTCAAGATCTTACATTCTGATGGGGGAGCCAATAGACATGCAATCGCATACAGACAATAGACTGAGTAGATCAAAAGTAATGTCAGAGGGAAGGCACCTATGGGGAAAAGTGTAGACTGAGGAAGGCCTTCTGCAGAAAGTGGGACCTGAGCCAAGTCAGAGTAAGCCAGGGAAGCCGGAAGCTAGAGGCAAGAGCAGAGAGCATCCCAGGCATGAGGTACAGTCAGTGAAAACATGGAGTCAGGAGAGGGAATTGCTGGGTGTTGCTGGATTATCACATATGTAAAGGGGAGTAAAGTGTAAGAAGATTGGAAAGAGAGGAAAGGGCCAGACAGTAAAGGAAATGTCAGACAGAAGATTTTGTATTTCATCCAGGAA